CAAAAAAAAGGAAGGAGAAAAAAAATAAAAAGCTCGGGAGGAAAAAAAATTTAAAAACACAAAAAAAAAACGAAAAACCTGACCCAAAATAACAGGACTGATTTGGAAATTTGGAAGCGAGCGCGGAGTGGGGGATGCTCCGTGTCCCGCCCCCGTCGCCCCTGCTCGGGAGCCGGTCCTGCCCCTCTTCCCCTGCTGCACCTGGGTGGAGGGGAGTGGGGAGGCGGGGCTTGCACGGGCAGGGTGTGTCCAGGCCCCACCCCACGATGTCCCGCCCCCYGGCGAAGCTCCGCCTCCCGCTCACAGGTAGAGCTCCTTGTCTTTGATATGCGCTAGCTGCTCACGGAGCTGGCGGAAGGGCGGCCGGTGCGCCGCATCCAGCGTCCAGCAGCGCCGCATCACCTCGTACACGGCGGCCGGGCAGCCGTCGGGCGCATCCATCTTGTAGCCCTTCTCCACGCGGGGCACCACGTCCTTCAGGGGCTGTAAGGGGGGGCATTGGATACACCCCCTGGGGACATCCCATGGACACAGCCCAAGGGGACATCCCAACACACCACGGAAACACCCCATGCTGACACTCCATGAAGACACCCCATGGGGACACCCCAACACACCATGCTGAATTCCCATGGGGACATCCCATTGGTTACATCCCTTGGGGACACCCTATGGCGACATCCCAGCACCCCATGGGGATATTCTGTGGGGAATCCCATTGGATACACCAATGGCACATGCCTTGGGGACATCTTGTGGGGACACCTGATGGGGACACCCCATGTAGACAAYTCATCGGATACCCCCTTGGGGATACCCCTTGGGGACACCAGGGAAGATCACTTACGATTCGCGGATAAGGCACTCGCCCAAAGGAGTAGATTTCCCACAGGAGGATCCCGAAGCTCCACACGTCCGACTTGGTGGAGAATTTCTAGGGTGAGGAGATGGACGTGGTGAGCGGAGCCCATGGGTTGGCACCGCCCTACAGCCCTGCGCCCCCCACGAGGCACCGGTGCCCCACGTCCCCACTCCGTTACCCACCTTTTCCCTAAGTGCTTCTGGCGCCGTCCACTTGACGGGCAGCTTGCCCGTGTCCTGCGTGGACGAGGCCTCCTTGGTGAGGCCGAAGTCGCTGACCTTGGCGATGTTGTCCTCTGAGACGAGCACGTTCCTGGCCGCCAGGTCCCGGTGCACAAAATTGTTGGCTTCCAGGTACTCCATGGCCTCGCAGACATCTCTGTGGCGGGCAGCAGGGGGGCTCAGCACCAGCACGGTGGCAATGGAGCCCGCTCCCGATCCGCCCACACTGTACTCACAGGGAGAACTTGAGCAGGCAGTCTGCGCCGAGCACCGACCTCCCGCGCGACCGCAGGTAGTCCACGAGGCTGCCCTGCCACCGTGCGACACACACGGACCCTCAGAGCCGCACGGGCACCAGGGGACGGCCCGGTCCCCTGCCCGGCTCTGCCACAACGCCCCGCGCTCCCCTCACCTTGGCCATGTACTCGGTGACAATGTAGAGGCCGCTCTTCTCCTCCACGATCACCCCCAGGAGCTGCACCAGGTTGCTGTGCCGGAGCTGCCTGCATGGCACGGAAGGGCTCAGAGCTGCACCGGGACCAGCCCCGCAGTGTCACCGCCGCCGTGCCACCCGTCCCTCCCGCAGTGATACTCACGTCATGACGGACGCCTCCGCCAGGAAGGCCTGWGCGGTGGCATCGTTTTTAATGCATTTCACAGCGACTTTGTTGCCCCGGTAGTCACCCAGCATCACGTCTGTAGGGACAGCAGAAAAAGCGCTGGGGGTTGGGGACAAGCCACCACCCCACGTCTGCACAGGGCATCCTCCTCCAGGGCCGCCATGGGGCTGGGGACACCCGTGCTCACCTCCGAACTCCCCCTTGCCAATGATCTGCAGCAACTTGAGGTCCTTCATGTTGAGGGCCCAGCCGCCTGTGGGGAGAGGAGGAGGAGGAGGATGAGGAGGGTGAGGGGCAGCCAGGGAGGAAGCTGGGCTGGGGGCGATGCCACTCACTCCGGGAGAATTCGTCCTGCGCTGCCACCGTGCCCTCCATCACCTTGGGCTTGATGAGGCGCGTGCAGAGCCCGTCGGCATCCGTGGTGTAATGCTGTGGGGAGAGGTGGGGGTCAGGCCCATGCCGGGGACAGCGGGGGACACCTGCAGAGGCCACCCGAGCAGCATGCGGGGGGGCTCGGTGGGACCCCACCGGGGCCGTGCCAGGCTCTGTGACCCCACCAGGTGGCAGCACAAGGCCACCGATGGGAGCAGAGTGGCTCGGGGTCCCCACTCTGCGTGTCCCTCCACACACCCAGTCCATCCTGAGCACAACCACCCGCTTGTCCCAAGGGTCCATCCTGACCAGGGCCAAGGACGCAGCAGTGAAAGTCCCACCAGCGCCTTGAGTCCAGGAAGAGCACCAGGCACTTTGGTCCATGTCCCCGAGCTGAAGTGCTCGGATCRTGGACAGGCTCACGCAAGGTGGGTGGGCGTCTCCATGTCCTCACCTCCACGAGCTGCATGAGGTTCTCGAAGTAGACCTCCTCGTCGATGCTCAGCTTGCTGGAGGAGTAGATGATGCGGTAGTGCTCCACCTTGCCCTCGCAGCTCACGCACAGGGTGTAGTCGCCCGGGTAGTTGGTGCTCTCCCGCACCAGGAAGAGCCCCGTCTCYGGCGGATACAGCAGTCGCTCCGCCTGCTCCCGTGTGATCTTCCCGTGGAACCACCTGTATCGGGAATAAGCAGGTGGAGAATGGGAGGGTTGGACACGTAACCAGCCCTGGCCAAAGGAAGCGCGGATGGGCCGGCACACCGCGAGCCAGAGCTGCATCCCGCTCCCAGATACAGGAGRGACTCAGCATCTCCCGGGCGTCTTTGCCCCACAGGTACTCACGGCATGAGGCTGAGCTTGATCCCAGCTTTCACTCCTTCCCGCTTCTGCACGTAGTTAGCAGGGATGATGCCTTCCTGGCCCACCTTGTTCTTCGCCTTGTACCAGTTGGGATCCTGCAAGGAGAGCGGAGCGCTCGGCAGGAGCCTCTGCTCGGGATGCTGACGAGCGGGAGTGCAGCGCTGCTCCCGCCCTGCACCTCCCTCCCGGGAGGCGCCCAAAACACTCATACTTCAGAGCAACGTTAACTAACGAGGCYGTGAATTAATTAACCAAACGCACGGCCTGATTCCTGGCCCGCTGACTCCACGGGGACGGCAAAGCTGCAGGGCTTTTCCCAGGGACACCCGGATCCCGCTAGCCCTGCTCCATCCCCAGCAAGCTCCATGTTGTGGGATGCGSGGAAACAAAATTAGCACCCCAGGCAGCTCTGCACAGGATCTCAGCGGACCCACCCGGAGAACAGTGGCCAGAGGGGCTGCCCCTTACCTTGGTGACAGCGACGATGGTGAGGACGTCTCCCTTGCTGAAGGGCAGGTCCTGCTCAGCGGTACCGTGGAAGTTGTACTTGGCGATACACTCTGTACCGGACGGCCAGACGGCCTGGTGGGGAGCAGAGCACAGGCATCAGCTCCAGCCCCACTCTCCCAACTCCTTCCCGCGGACACAAGGTGCACTGGGATGGCGCTGGATGGACTCGAGGACGCAAGGGACCCGTCCGGATCGCAGCACATCCCCCACGGGACTCACCTGCATCCCTGACATCTTCTCGGGAGGCTCGTGGGGCCGAATCTCACAGGAGGGACACGTCACTTGGTACCATGAGACCTGCAGAGGGGGAGGACATTTGAGACTCGGGCCCCGCGGGGATGGGCTCCAAGGAGCACGACAGTCAGTGGCCCCGGCAGGGATCAGGAGACAGAGGGATGTCGGGAGCCGCAGACGCCCTGGACACGGTGTCAGGGGTGCTCAGGGCAGCCTGGAGACGGTCGCCCCAACAAGAGACACGTCCCCACCGCAAGGGGAAGTGGCGCGGGGACAGTCCCGTGCCCTGTTCCCACGCTATCACCGCAAGAATCGGTCATTGCCGGCGCCGAGAGTGAAGCTGGAGCAGCGGCAGGAGACGATGGAGCAAACAGGAAGCGCCAGGGAGGCAGGGGCGGCCGCTGCGATGCGGCCTGGGGCCAAGCGCGCCCAAGCGAGCGTCACCGCTGGCTTCCCCTTGCTTGTGCGACAAGGAGGCCACCGAGGGGGTCCCATCCTGGGCTCCCCATTTGGCTGGAGCGGGGCGGGATGGAGATGAGCACGTGCACAGGCCCGGCAGCAAGAGGAGGAGGAGGAGGCGAGGCGAAGGAACTGGTGTCGGTCGCAGCACCACACAAGGCGCTGCCGCACGACGGGGCACTGGGCGCCCCGTGGCGCTTGCCAGGTCCACGCACGTCGTCCCCGTGAGGCCGGAGGCCGCGTGGGGACCGCAACAGGCCCCCACACGGGACGGGGCTTCCTGGGGTATCTTGGCCACAACTTGGCACCACCATCCAAGCCCGCTCACTCGCCAGCTGCGGTGCTGAGCCAGCCACCTCTAGCCTTTCCATCTCCTGGAGCTTTTGGGGTAGCTGTGGAGGGAGAAATCCGTGCCAGGACACGCGGGAGGGAGCAGGGCAGCGCGGAGTTCCGGCACGGTTCTCAGCTCGCTGCGCTGCCGCGGGGCCGCAAACAGCCGCCACTCCCAGCTGCTCTTGGTGGCTAAAAATATTTTGGGAAAGAGGAACCGAAACGAGGGGCAAGGCCAGGAGGAGGAAGACGATAAGGGGCAGAACCTGCGTCGGGAGGAAGAGATCGGATGCAAGCAGGGCCCTGCGTGTGCGGCTGCATGGCGGGCACCCAGCGGCCGGAAGAGCCGTCACGCTGCCGGTGACAGCGGCACCCGTGGATCCCCGCGCATGGAAGAGCTCCAAGACACCTCGGTTCCCACTGCACGACCCAGAGCAGGACGGGGGCGAAACCGTTGCCTTTGGCCAACGAACCTCATGCAAAAGCAGCGGTGCGGCGCGTGGGGCCCAGGCGTCCGGGGCCTTTCGGATGCGCGAGCGGGGTTTCCCGGCACGCACCGCGGGATGCTCGGGCTCACCGCAGGCACCGGGCGCAGCCCCGCGTCCTCCTCCCGCGCAGAGGCCAGCGGGAGTGCTCACCTGTGCCAAGCCCCGCTCGCTCCGGCACCAGTGCCCAGCCAAAGCCCCGAGGGACAGAGCGCGGGATTTTGGGAAAGGCTCTGGTTTCTGGCAGGGCAAAAGGGAACCCAATAAAAATACAGAGAGGGAGCGAAACGCAACCCGAGCCTTCTCCCAAAGCCTCTGGAATAGAGGCCTTCAGGTCCCGCAGGGCAACCAAAGATCTCCCTAAGAGGCAGAACAAGCCAATTACAGTAGCTTGGGGCTCGGATGTGGGATCCAAGGAAAACTGCCCTGGCAGAGAAGGAATTTGAGAGAAGGAGGAGGAAAAAAAGGCCAAGCAGGTCGGAGGCTTTGGGAGCGGGGGCGGTTTGCACGGGATAGGCCAGGGGCGGCATGCTGGAGGCCTGGCTCGCCCCCATACCTCCCCCATCCACAGGGGCGATTCCAGGGATGCAGGCCAGGGAAAAAACCCTTCTAAAAGGGAAACGGTCTCAGCAAACTCGAGCCACAGAAGGAATGGGCTTTGGACAGYGCCAATAGCTTCAGCTTCCCAGACGGGGGAAATTCCCACGATGACGCTACCGAGGCGGCACGAGCCGCGTGCCCGTTGGCTTCGCGGTGGGAGCCGGTGAGGGAAGAAACCCAAGGAACCCGAACTCACCGGAGCCGTGCAGAGGCCGGGGAGCATCTTCCACAGCACCACGGCGGCTGCCGGGTGCTCCGGCGGGTCCCCGGGGCCGGCAGGAAGCCGCCAGCGGCGTCAGCAGAGTCACCTGGCAGCGCTGCGCGCGGCCGGGCCAAGCGCGACCACAGGGGCAGGCGGGGGAGGAGGAAGACGCCGCATTTCACCTCGGACCCAACGAGCGGGTTTGCAGCAGGCCAGCGGGAGAGCGCGCCACAAGCTCRGCATCGCCTCCCGCGCCACCTCTCCCGGCGCCTGGCATTCCCGGTGGGAAGGGCTGCCCGGATCCACGCCTGGAGCAGGAGCCRAGGGCCTGCTTGGTTCCCTCTCTGCTCTCCATCCATCTCCAGCCCCTGCATCCCGCACATTCCCAGCACACCTGCTCCGCAGCTGGAATCCGGCTGCCGGCGGCTCCAAGTGCTTAGTGGCCACCCGCTAGCCACACRGCGCCGCTGCCAGCCACGAAGCCTCTGGCCACACATGCCCCAGGCCAACAAGATGGATACGGCCCTTGCTCACGGCTGCGGGCGGGAAGCTGCCTCTCCTGGCGCATCCCGACCTCTCTGGAGCCGGAGGTCGAGACTCCACGCTCGGTGCCTTTGGGAAGGCGAGCACCTGCTCCTCGCAGGAGCCATGAAGGTCTGTTCCAAGGAAAGCTCCCGCATTTAGGGATGCTTAGCTGCTGAATTTAGGGATGCTTCACTCCAGCATTTAGGGATGCTTAGCTCCCACCTTTAAGAATGCTTAGCTCCCACATGTAGGGATGCTTAGCTCCCACATTTAGGGACGCATAGCTCCTCAATTTAGGGATGCCTCAATTGAGGGATGCCTCATTCCCAGGGGACGCATCCCCACGGGCCTGGTCCAGCCGGTTGCATCCCCCATCCCGCGCTCCGCGGCTTCGCCTTGTGTCCCCGCCAGGCTCCCCTCACCCCGGGACCAGCCGGGCGCCCCGGCGCAGGCCAGGTCCCCAGGGCCTCTGCGAGCTCCGCCAGCCGCCGCTGACGGAAGCGGCTCTGCCTTGCGGGGGCCGCTCGCTGCTCCCCTCCGCGGCGCCCCGCGCGCACGAGGGGCTTCTGCTGCTCCCCTTTTTGTCACACATATATACATATGTAGTTAAACAGATGAAGCATTAAGCGCAGATGCTGCCG